AAATGATATAAATACCAATTTATAATTCAAGAAATGTGCTACATTGTTCTTCTTTCATCTGTTGTGTTTTGTCCATTTCTTCCTAACACATCTTTGATATTTATTTTATTTCTATATTCACATTTTTTCTTTCTTTCTCTCTGTCTCCCTCTCTCTCTCTCTCCCTCTCTCTCTCTCTCTCTCTATTTTTCTCTCTCTCTTTCTTTCTTTCTTTCTTTCTTTCTTTCTTTCCTTTTTCAGTATCAGGGATGGACCTTGGGACCTTGTGCTTGTGAAGCAGGTGGCAGAACCACTGATCTTAATCCCCAGCCTCTATATTCACATCTTATTTTTTCACCTTCTTTGCAGTTGATACAATGAATATGTCACTATTTCATTTTTATTAATATCATGTTAAATATGTGTAATTACTAATCTATTCTAATCACCAATATGATGAATTCAAATTAAGCAATTTCTTATGAAAATTAAAACAAAGTACTAATGTTGTTCACAGTTTTATTTTATTCTTTAATATTTTTGGTATATCAGTTTTGTCTCATCTGTTTCCACAAATGATAAATGATAATTTCATTCTCTTAAAATCTCTAGATATGGTTCTGGGGATGTAACTCGATGGTAAAATGCTTACTTAGCGTGCACAAGGCCCTGGGTTCAATGTACACTGCAAAAAATAAAATAATAAAGTAAAATAAAATATATAGATGGAATTATTTAACTTTAATTGTTGCCCTGAGAGCTACACTTATTTTCCATCCAACTGTCTATATCTGAGTAACAGAGCACAGTTACACTAGGGACACCTGTTGATATTATCAAAGTAGTGATAAATTGTAAGAGAGGCTCATGTCAGGTGATTTTTAGACAATATTTTATGACAATTCACATGATACCCTACATTCTTCACCCCATGCGACAGACAGAAGGGAAAAACGGGAAAGGGAGAGATTTTTCACAGTCGCTCTTTGATGACAAATTTGGACATCACTAAACAGTTTTTATTAGTTGTTTCTGTTTCAATGTGAATAAGTCATCAGTCAGAGTCTTAATAAATATCTCTGCACACTTATTTAGTCCTTATTAATTAAGTGCTTGTTACACAGGTATATAACTTTGTGCTAAATTGAGTTTTAGATACATTCAATGAATATCAATAAAGAAGACAAGTTTAAAACTGCACTTTTAACTGCTCTTGATTTCTACTGAAATATAATTAGCTAAATACAATTCAGAGAGCTTTAAATGTTTTATTAATAGTAAATCCCTGTTGAGGTTTTTAAAGTAATACACAATCATATCTCCAAGTAATATTGTTTGGGATATTTTCTATATTATTTTATCCTTTGTTTTTCTCATCTTTACTTTGCATTTTTATCTTTATACTGATATCTTACTGACTATATCAGACATCTTTTCTTATTTTTTACATTAACCGAAGGTCACTATATATTTTTTTAATTTTATTGAGTTTATTGGTACATTTTAGGGATACAGTACAGTTACATTCATTGTTGGGATCATGAACCTTTACATGGTAAGTCTTGATTCTCATTTTTTCCCCTTACCTCTGCCCTCCCTTCACCCCCTCCTCCCTTCCCCATCTACAAACACTTTATTTTCATCTTTTCATTCTCTCACATTTTTTTCTTTTCCCTTTTTGTTCTTCCCCTATGTATCACACCTTCCCTACTATATTTGACGGAACTGAATTTTTAAATATGTTTGTGATGTGTTTTTTTTCTTCTACTTGGATTTTTTTTTTTAATCTGGGACACCTTACATGTCTAAATCTACTTTAACTTAATTCTTGATGTTAAGATTAATTTTGAACATGAAAAATAGTTCCCCAAATGCAAATGAGAACCTACCATTGACTATATATGCCCTCAGATAATATTTTATTTCTCTTAAAAATCTATAAGCAAAAAGAGAATTTCATTTTCTTTTTTTCTTTTTTATTATTTAGGAAATCCTCTTCTTTTTCCCTGCAGTTACTTCTGCATTTTGATCCAATCACAGCCACATTTATGCCAGCTTCATAAACGCTCAGTGAATCACTTGTTTACAATACTTACTCGCGTCCCTCTACTTCTGGCTTTTCTCCACATTTCAGAATATTTCTTTTCTTCTCTTCTTGAGACCATCTGTTCAATTAAAAATGTGTTTTATACTGTATGTATTATATTTTAGTATGTTCACAGAGTACAACTTCTAGATAACTATTTTATGTTCATTTTAAAAGTTATCTCAAAGATTATGATACTGTCAGTTGAGGTAAACGTCAGAAGACAGATTTTAGATTATTTTCTTGTTTTATTCACTTATTTATTTATTTTTATTTTTTTATTTTCTTGTTTTAACAACTTTTCCTTTATATTTCAGTTTATTAGACCCAGTCTCTAATTTTATCATGGGAAAATTCTCATCCACTTTAAAATGTGTCTATCCTTCTCACACTGTGTTTCATGTATTACGGGTTTTAAGTTCTCTACAGCATCTTTATATGGTGCACATTCTTCCTCAAAACAATATACTTTGAATACAAACATATCGAGCCAACCCTGGTACTAGCACACACCTTAAGACATACTTCTATGATATGTGGGCCATACTCAAGTGCTCCATGATCTGAACACACCTGATGAGTAACTATGAGGTCCCTGTTGTGTATTATGCAATGGAGTGGAAATGTAATAAGAGACTGGTGAATGCTTGCAGGAGAAAAACAAAATCTTTCATTCTCTTTGTTATATCTGGTGCCATTGGTCCACACCAAGCTTTCCGTTTACCTGGCCTCTGCAGGTATCATTTGGTTTGGTTGTGGTTGTCAAAGATCGTGAAGCGTGGTTGCTTTTGTGTTTAAAGAAATTCTAAGTGCAAGGCACCACAGATGTAACTGAGTTAATCAGTTGTCTACTTCAGGGAACATCAGCAAAATTTGACACAGATATTTCTGCCTTACTTTCGTGATGTTTAACGTTTTAAAAAATGTCTTGGAATTCTTAGAATTGACATCTGTGTTTGGCAGAAACTTGGCTCTGATGCCATTTCTTTTTCCAATTGTAGGACAAGGTTTAACTCATTTCAAATCTTTTTCGGTGAATTGGGACCACTAGAAATAAAATATATGCTTGTGTCCAGTTTCAATTTTTGCAACGTGGTTGGCTGTAGTTTTGCCAATCATTTGCTTTCCAATAAAATTGCTTCTGGATTTTTTACATTACCTCCAATGGCCTTACAAATTGTACCATGTGCGGTGGGTATTTAATCTGAGCTCATGCCCTGGGACCTCTTAAGATACAGTTACTACCTATAATTTCATTACTGTCCTCAGTTTATGTTTTTCAGTTTCCTTTTATTTTCACCCTTGTGTTTCTTTACTAACACTTCACAGTGTTTAACACCTCACAGTCTAGCTAATTGCAAAGTTTAATTAATTACAAAGGGATTTATCTTCATGTCGGAAGAATTACACAAAAGAAATGTATCTAATTCTTTAATACATCCACTTCAGTGATAAAATAATTTCTGCCCATTTCATTTCATAAGCTAAGCAACTTCTCTCTGTTTTCTTTTCAGACCCTAGTTTTGTCTTTTTCATTAAAGTTCATAGGTCTGACCCACCATATTTTCAAATATATATGTATCCTTAGCTCATCTTAGCAATACTGATCTACTTTTGTGGCTGTTCCTCTGGACAAAGGTGAATATAATATTTTACACACACACGCACACACACACACACACACACGCTCCATTAGTTTATATGTGCAAATGTACCTCTATTTACCAAAAATAGTTAAATATTTTCAATAAATTAAAAGTCAAACTAATTTCTTAAATGTAATTATTTAAATATTTAGGCAAACATCACTTGTATTTTATTGTTCATATAGCAAAAACTATCAGACACTGGACAGCCCTGAAATAAACACTTTTGTTCTGGTCTGTTTTGCTCACACCAAGATTTTGCTATATATTCATGCAGGAATGAAACTGCTGAGGAATAGTTACTTGTATCTTCATCTTCCCCACACATTGCTAAATGATTCTTCATAGTGGTTCTACCAATGTTCACTTCTAGCTCCAAATAAAAGTTTCAGTTTCTCTATATCTTTGCCAATTATTGATCGTTATAAATCAAATTATTGATCAATTATAACAAAAAATGATTATTGATCATTTCAAGCACTATTATCTTTAATAAATATTTTGTCTATGTAACAGCTTGAGAATATGTCCTTAGTGATTTACTTGTTATTTCCCTGATAATGACTAATACAATATCATTTTTATATGCTTTCTAAAACCCTTGGTTTCCCTTCCTACAAATACTTTTAATACTATTGCAAATTTAATTTTTATTTGATTACTGACATTCTTAAAATAATTTATATTATAAACTCTGTTTTGTGAATTGAAATCATCTTTTCAAAGTCAATGACATAGTTTTTCTTTTTATTTGTGAATTTAGATGAATACATAATTTTAATTTGCGGTATTAGAAGAAAAATCACTGAGCATAATAATGTGTATTTTTTTGAGTCCATTTACTACAATATGCTGAAAGTTGTGACAAATGAATCATTTTAATGGAAGACATTAGTAGTAGATAAATTGATTGTGAGGTATACCAGAATCATTTATATGTTCTGGGCAATTTTAAGCACAATGGTAAGTTGGAACTCTTTATTAAAAGTTTTCAAGAAGTGTGATGGGTTACAAAAAAAGAGTAAGTAACAAAGAAGTTGTTTTAGCTGGAAATAATTGAATCATGAGACAATAAAATAGGGTTCAAGTTTCTGTGCCCCACACCAATCAAATGATAAGAACTGGGATAGAATTTTTTTCTCTGTTTAAAATGTGTTGAGTCCTAAATTCCAATTTAGTATTAAATTTAAAGCAGCTGAACACCGAGTTATGATTGCAAATATAATGTATTCATAAATAAGTACATATTGAAATAGTTAAACTCAGATTTCATGTGCTTGCCTTTCTAGCTGTTTCCTGACCAGTTGACTCCATTGAGGAATACAGTGAAATTGGAAGTCAGTAGCAGTTTGGACTTTCAAAGCATGCCAACGTTTTTAAAGGTAGGTGACAAATCTTTCCAAGATACATGCTTTTAAACTCCTATTAAAAGCTCAAAATTTCAATTTATATTTAAATTGTTTAACTTAAAATTGCCTATTTCATTATAAATCAAAATATTAAATGTTATTCTTTAATTCCAGATGATTGGCATAAGCAGTACAAAATCATGAAACTTAAGTAATCATTTCTTTTATCAAAGCGCCTATATATGTTTTACTGTTTTATCGTGCATTTCTCTTACTATTTTAATCTATGTGTAGATTTGAGAAGACCTAGTGGTTATGTGCCTCCTGAAAAATAGAAATTGGTTTCCTTCTTTTATATTCTAGTTTCACAGCGCTTTGCTTTCTTTTTCATAATTAGTGGATTTTACTTTGTTAAATTGGACGTGTCATTTCAAAGGCATACAGCAGTTGAAGCTTTCACAAAGGAAACAAAGTCAGAAATGTTCTTGTCTTTATTAATAGGGCTTGGTCTTGCTTAATTGTTTCTTTTGCTGGCAATTATAAGCTGCTTTCTCTTGGTGGATGGTAGGCATCTAGACCCTGGTATTTAAACACTTACAGGGAACCTTCATGGACACAATAATTACAGTGTGCTCTGCCACTCCCCTTCTGTGTCTCATCTACCAGCATCTATTCTTAGGCTGTAGTCAAAACTACCTTGATATTCTGACTTCTCAATCAGTTATCAATTAAGGTTAACCACTAATATGACAGCTCCAAAATAAAAAGTTAAAGACATGAGGCAAGCGTGTAATTAAAACAATACGCTGCATGCCTCACGGTGAGATATTTGCTCAAACACTGTGCATGCTCATATTTAATAGGCACAAAAGGACTTTTTATTTTTAGTATTTCTTTTATGAGATTAGTTTATTTAAAGCATGGGAGACTGTAACCCAGTTTTATTATAATATCATCACCTAATGTTAAGGGCCAGAGTTGAATAAAAACTATACAAAATTTAGATAAAATTTTAAGACTAGAAGTTAAAAATAAATTAACTTTTTATATCGCAAATATTAATAAAATATATTCCCCATGGTCATCGATTCTGTTCACCAATTTATTGTCATTGGCAATAAAATTCTGTGAGGAAAATACCTTATTTATTTGCATTGTAAGAACTGTAACACATAATTTGAATTGATATTTCAATATTATATCTTGAATAATATTGATATTAAGATTTTAATTCAGATCTTGCACACATAAAAGATGAACACTTCTAATATATTTCCTCTAATTAGCAACTTTCTGTCACATAATTCTCATGGCTACATCAACCTACATATAATGTATGTTGCAAATATGAATAATGAATTACTACTAAGCTATCTTGTTTATTGATCGATTGCTGGGGGTTTAATCCAGTGCTTCACACATGATAGGCATGGACTTCAGCACCAAGGCACACCTTTGACCTCATTCTAATTAGTAACGCATGACCTTCTTTAGAGCTTGATAAAACATTAGAATGTTTAAAGTCACAAATTAAAAATTAAAAAAAAAAAAAGACAGACCTAGCTTTCCCAAATGCACTTTGGTTCACTTTGTACTTTAATTGACATTAAAAAATTAAAAACGGATTCATAATTATTTTAAATAGAAAATTTAAATATAACCTGAGAAGGGAAAATGTAAATAAATTAGGATTTTTAAATCATAGTAGAGTTTGTATAAAGGTAAAAGACACTTGAAGAGAAAGGCTTGAAATAGCTTTCATATTAATGTAAATGTGTTCATAGGCTTCTTGGATGTAAGTAGGCAGGACAAAAACATTTCCAGAATACTACAATAAAAGAGAATAATATTCAAAATATTAAACATATAGCTATGAAGTTAAATAATTTTAATTCTACTTTATTAAGAAATTTTTTCACATTACAGTAATAACTTGGTTCATAAACACTTCAGTTCCCAAAGAATTTGGTTCTCAAACAAAAGCATTTGACATTTTGCTTCTGTTCACAAACTCCACATCCACGGCATTTTACCCACCCAAACACAACTGCAACCCACTTCTCTAAAGTCATAAAACAGATTAAATTTCTAAACCCAGGTACCACTGTAATTTAATTTTTAATAGGATAAATTTTCTGGGTCCTATTTATAATTTCACCAACTCTTTTCTTCAACTATTTCTTGTACAGTACAGAAGGGCAACTTATTTTTCCTGTGGAACTTTACAAAATGCTCGTTCTATTCACTTCTCAACTATATTCATAATTTACCTTTACATAAATATATGAATGTATTACTTAGTAGAAAAAAACAGGAAAACAGATCAGATACCTGCCATATAGTCAGAAAGTGCTCTTTGATCTGTTGTAGCATTTTTTTTTTTGTTCCAGTATGAAAAATATGCTTGGGGTGGCATTTTTTCTTACCTTCTATGTAAACTAAGGGTAGAAAGACCCAGATAAGAAACATTAGACCTGGACTATATGAGAAGCAGAGAAAAATATTTAACAAAACCAGGTACAGATTTTAAAAAGGCATGTAGACCTGTAATACCACTCCATTTGGTGAGTTTTTGGTCATTTAGAGGGTTAAGGAATGAACTATGTATCAAATAGCAAGAATATTTAGCAGATGTAACTGGAAGAGTAGGCCTCAGGAGTGAAGAAATTTGAATGAAATTTAAACCATATCTCGGCTCTGAGCTTTACGCTGTATGTGATATGGAACAGTGTTTTGCTTTTGTTGTTTCTTCTTGAATGTAGGTAGGTAACCTGAAGACACACGCGTTCATGTGTTAATGTATCTGTGTGTGTATGTGTGTGTATTTAAGGCCATGATCGTTGGCTTTATAGCAGATTATCAGTGGAAGATTACCTGTTTGAAGCAGAAATCTAGTTTGATTTCTATCTTGTATAGTCTTTTTAGAAAATTATTTTTACCAGACCAGTGTTTAAAGCATCTATACATCGAGAAATATAAATATTACAGGATTCCAACTCAATAAAATTCTTCACGATTCTATCAATTTTTCATTTGCTCTTTGAAGATGAGGAGAAAAGTGGGATTGAGAAAAGGGAAGTTTTGGAAATGAGCTGTTGTCCGATGTAGGAGCCAATGCATACAGGAGCTATCTTTACAAAATAATTCTTTCGGGCTCTGGTGTGAGTAGCAGGTCCTGACCCCCAGGAAACACCAGCTCTCTGCCGTGATGAGGTGAAACAAGCTGATGGGAAGACGGAGAGCGGATCTGTGCAGCCAGGAATGAACTGGAGCATTTCTGGTTTTGCTGCTCACTGCATCCTGCTGAGTTGACAATAGGTTCAAAAAACGAATTGCAAAGCCATCTTTCTTTTTCTTTAGTATAGTTTGCACAGCTGAAATAGAAATCATCTTCCACATGTTGCTGTTTTTGTTGTGGTTGTGTTAATTTTCCCCGATTGGGTATTGCTTAGGATATAATTAGAACATTTGAAGAAAATAAATGTAGGAATATTTCTCATTATGCCAGTCATCAAAGGTTAATAACTTGGGACATGCCTATTAGGATTTCACAGTGACTTGTCATTTGGAGTTATGATTTATCACCCAGTTAGAAGAACAGGAACAGAAAAAAAAAGAGAAAATGTAGAAACAGTGACTATTTCTTTCTTTTTTGTGGGGGGGATTGACTCAGGTCCTTGTACAGGCAAGGCAGGTCGTGCAACCACTGAACTAAAACCCTGGCCTCAACAGGGACTATTTCAACTTGAATTCCAGCAGACTTTTACTCAGAAGAAATAGCTCACCTTGTGTCGCCCATGATGGCGACAAGCCTCCGGGATTATTAAAACACATTTACTTCACGCTACATCATTGGAAAAGTTAGATGGCTCCCCAATATATTTTCAAATTTTCTACATTTAATTGTGCATTTCTTTGTGTAGATTTTTAGTTTAAATTGTCACAGGACACAGGTGGTATTAAAATCTTCCACACTCAGGGTCTAAGGGTCATTTACATATATTTTAATCCATTGAAGATATTTTCAATTAATTGTAAAGGTCACTTTCCTTCTGTAAGCCTTACGGTGTTAGCCCTTAAAGCTGAGAGACACATGGATAAACATATCTTTTGTTTTTCCCTTTGTCTTTGAAGTTCTCCTGTGGGTATATCACGCTGCTTTGGTATTATGAGTCAGTTCACATTCCAGGTCATTGTGCTGTCATTCAGGTTAGTGTAAGATTGTCTCAGTACATAAACAAGTAAGTACATACATGCTCTTTGTTCTAATGAAAAATACTACGAAGAGATGAAGAGAATGCTCTGTTATGGTCTATGGGACAACAATCCATAATTTACTTTTGCAGATGTCTGTGTAATTTAAGCAGCAGGCAGAACAACCACACAGTTGTAGCTGCTCTAGGGAAAGGATACCAAGAGGCTCATAAATCATGGGAAGGATTAAAAGCAATGAGCATTCATCTTCTTAGCCTCGTAAGGCAATACGGGGAAGCCAAGTATCAGAACATTCAGAGCGCAGAATCTTTGTGCAGAGATAAGAGGAGTCAGAGTTTTTAAGCCTTCTCTCAATTAGCACTGACCTTGCATTTGCAAGTCAGCAGAACATCATTTTAAGGTTGATTAAAAAGAGACCTCTTCCACAGCAAGTCAAACTGAATAAGTGATAAGGCGTTTTTCTGGGCACTAGTAAATGAACTCACATCATGTGGAAATGTTTGCCATGTACCTAAAGCGAACGTGTTTCTTCTTGCAAAATACAGTACCTAGAAAATAACCTTCCAAATAACCCATCCATAAAGATCATCACATTTTAATTGAATATTGTTAAATGGTGAAATGCCATGAGAAAATACTAACTTCAAAGTTGTCAGTGAAGGAGATAAAGACAGCTGGCTCTCCCTACAACATTTAGTAAGTAAATGATCTGTTACTAATTGTTTATATTTGAAAAATTATTCTAATCAAAGGTCTTTGGATGTAAATGAGTAAATGAAACACAAGAAGGGAAGTTTTATTTTGTGCAGAAAATAGAA